AAATTCAATCGGTTTTATTACGATGCAGGAGGCTGGAGAAATGCCTCCTCTTTGCTATTAGGATGACTTACTACAGGTAAAATATCTTGGGTATAGCTGAACTGTATCACAAGACAGTGGAGCTGTGACCATTACAGCACCCGAGCAGGGGCATGTGCAACTCTGCGTGATGCCGCCTGCGTAACCACAGTTTTGAGAACCTTCCTCATTCACAGTAAGTAAATCCATGCCACAGCTAAAGCATGAGGAGAAATTGCACTGAAATATACAGTCTCGTGTCCAAGAATTACTTGGGAACATAAAAACAACACAATGCAAATGATTATATTTATCTCATTAAAATTTGTCACTGTTACAAGTAAGCTGAAGAAGGACTGTGCTGGGTTTGTGTATGGCAGGGGTTTTGGTGGCAGGGGAGGGGGCTACAGTGGTGGACCCTGTGAGAAGCTTCTCAAAGCTCCCCCAGCTCCAAGTTGGACCTGTCTCTGGCCAGGGATGAGTCAATTATAGACGGTGGCTGCACCTCTGTGATAACATATTTAAGAAGGAGAACCTGGGAGTTGTGAGGAGTTACAAGAAGGACACCTATGGTGAACACCAAGGTCAGTGAAAGAAAGGAGAAGGAGATGGCGGGGGAAGCCGTGCCAGAGCAGAGATCCCTCTACAGCCCATGGTGAGAGGGCCCAGGGAGGTCACTGGTGGAGCAGACGCCGACCTGCAGCCGGTGGAGGACTCCATGCCAGAGCAAGGGGCTGCACCCAAAGAAGGCCGGGACTCCATGGGAAACCCCTGCTGTTGTAGTTCATCACTGGGAGGACTGCAGCCTGTGGGAAGGACTCATGGTGGAGAAAGTTTGTGTAGGACTATCTCCTGTGAGAGGGACCCCATGCCGGAGCAGGAGAGGAGTGTGAGGAGTCCTCCCCCTGAGGAGGAAGTGTCAGCACTAACTGCACCCCCCATTCCCTGCCCCCTGAACTGCTGTGGGGGAGGAGGTAGAGAAATTAGGAGCAAAGCTCATCCCAGGAAGAAGGGAGGGGTAGGGGGAGGTGTTTTAAGATGTGATTATACTTCTCGCTGCCCTGCTCTGTTTGTTGAGTATTGTTGCTGTTAGTGTTTGAACTAAATTGATGTTCCTTTTCTTCCCCTGTCTGTCTTTTGCCCATGACTGTATTCGGTGAGTCACCCTTCCCTGGCCTTGTCTTGATTCCTGGGTCTTTTGCCTCATTTTCTCTTTCCCATCCCTGAGGGGGAAGGGGTGAGTGAGCAGCTGTGTGGTGCCCAGTTGCCCTCTGGGCTCAAACCAGGACATTGACAAGCTGGAAGCTAGCTATAGTGGTTGAAGGTTAATTGCAAGGCATCTAAAGACCTCATGCAAAGTTCAGTCATTTAAAGCATTCATTGATAATATGTAATGCAGAATGACTATAACTAGGGAAAAAATCTGAAACTGCATTTAATCAAAACTGGAAGAAATTCAGAAACTCAGAACAGCCTCAACTAAGTAAACTAAGCCTGAACAGCTGATAAAATCCAGCAGAAATTAATGCAAAATCATTCTTTCGATCTGAAGTATTCATAGGCCTTATAAGAAACTTAACTAACTGCGTAAGTTCAGGAAGGTAGTTTGCTATTGTGTACAGTTGCAAAGGAACCTCTGCATGGGCAAACTTATCCGAAATGCTTATAGAAAATCAGGGTGCCTGAAGACTGTGTCATTACAAGCATTTCAGTAACCAGACATACAAATGAACTCTGAGGCACTCATAACAGTGCCTCTCCATGTGGATTCTCTGATGTCTGTCTAGGATGAAATTACCCTCCCACAAGGATACTAATATTGCTATGCATTTTTGTTTAGTTTTACATTTTTGAGACTCACTCTCCTTTCTTCAAAGTGACTGAAGTTGGCCCACAGACTCAAAAGTTGTTAAGGGGACCTCAAAGTCCTATATAAAATATGACTACCTGAGGTTGTTTCTTTAAGAAACCAAACAGTGCTATTGTGAAAACAGAAAACATGCCATCATTTTAAGTACTGTATTCTAATCACCTCTTCTCCTATCAGAATTCAAAGATTCAGTGATTTACAAGGTAAAACAACCAGTACAAGATAACCATTTGAAAAACTTATTTTCTCTAGAGGTAAATAAAAAAGAAAGCACATGATAGAATTACAAATAATTTCTAGTAGGGAGTAAGAAGATCAGGAATTTTCTTCCCTCTCTATTAACAGAATGCACAAGCAAACTTTCAAAGGAGTTGAATGACAATAAATTGTAACCTAAGATTTGCCTTCAGAACTTCCTGCCATAATCTGTAACTATATTTGAAGCTGTTGTGATTTTTAAAAAAGCACAGCATTCTAAAAAGAGCAAAACTATTTGCTCTACCAAAAAAAATTAAATCAAACAAACAGCATATATATAGAGAAAAATCTATTGCTAAAAAGCATAAACTAGCTTCTAGATGTCAGAAGGACAAACTTTAGGATTAAGTTGTCCCAGATGTCTCAACAAGAATTTTTTATGTTTGTCTGAAGCGCCTGGTTCTGGTAAGCTTCAGAGCTATACTGTCAAAACCCAAAGATTTACTATTCCTACAATGTGTCAATGTGCCAGAAAGCCAAGACCCTTCATGAGACTCCCAGGAAATATATGCTGCTTTACACTTACTACACTTCCCACAGTGGTGACAGGGATTTTTTTAAAGCATTACAGTTTTAAAACAGGACAACTGTTTTAACAAGGATTGTCATAAACTGCCCCTTCCAATTGACATTGCCTCCCAAGAAGCAGAAACACACAGTGAGCACACTCATAGATCACACTTTAGTAGTCACAGGGAACATACCTATCATCATTGCATTTTTATTTAAAATGTAAAATTCCTGCAGTTTCCTCCTTCATCATTTTGAATATGAAAGCACAGCACTGTTTTAAAATCATACCAGTCCTTAGTTTTACCTGATAATGAAAATCTAGAAGTTGTTTTAACTAAGAGATCAGAATCCTTCTGAAAAATTACATTTCTCAGCACATTTATTCTGACTGCAGGAGACAAGAAGTCTCCCTTTACCACATCACAAGGCGCCAAGGAAAGCTCATACATTCTGTCCTTAATCACACCCTGATGCAGCAGTCTCAACTAGAAGCACAAGTAAACAACAAATCCCCCTCCCATGGCTGAAAGAAACCATAAGATTTATTTTCAAATTTGGAAAAAGAATGCATGCAGGCTGAACAAAAAAGCTAAGGTTTTTTTACCTCCTCTGCCATCTCCAATCTGCTGCTTCCCTGAACAACAATGGACCTCGTACCAAAAGCTGGCACCTGCCTGGCATCCTGGCGTCAGGAGTCGCTGGCACCTCCGGTTGCCTGCAACCGGCCACCGCGACGGGCGAAGGGTGGTGCGGCCACCATCCCCTCCCTTCCGTAACACGTCACGGGTCGCAGCCACGTGCATTTCTGTGCGCACACGTGGGATCCTGTGTTACATCACAGTACTCCCGTGTTATTACCCTGCCTTGTGTTTCATGGCTATGGTGATTTCACAAATGACAGCATTTTAAGTCTTAAATGAGCTTAATAGATGGCTGGTTGACATTTGGAGGATGAAATTCAGTAATGACATCAAAGTAAGGAGACTATTTGAGCTTTTTAAGCCATTTAAACTCTTGCCGGTGATCAGCTATATGGCAGTCCTTTTTGTTTCTAAGGTATACATCTGTGCAGCACTCTGAACTGGGGACCGGTGCTCTCAATGAGGCACTGCCAGTAGTTCCAGTAATGAATTGGTTACACAAAGGCTTATGAGTGTGTTAGGAATTCAGACCAAAAAAACATATCTCCATTGCCTCTCTACTCAGCATCTAAGTTAATCTCCTGTTTTCCTTGGAAAAAGGAAACACACAACAGTTCCTCTCTGTTACGACTTGAACATCTAGTGCAAATCAGGACATAACAAACTATAACCCTTTTAACTAAGAATAGGTCTTCCTCAAACCTGGCATCTTATGGAGCAGAAGTTTTCTTTCTCCTTGGCGTCCTTGAGAGCTGTTTATCAAGAGGGATGCAGAGATGCAAAGTGTTCACAGACTTCAGGTCTCTCATGTGGAAGACCGCATCAAGGAGAAATGAGTTTGGAGTGAAAAAATGTGGATGCTGTTTATGCTGGGGACCTGAAGAAATGTGTTCTTGAGGCTGCTGCACGAGTCTGAAGACAAGATAGCTAAATAACGGTGGAGCATAATTTATGTGGAGGTGACACTTCTCAGCAATGAAGGCTTTGAGGACATGGCTGGCAAATAAGACAGATTTCATGAAGTTTTGCTTTGTTCAAGGGGAAAACACATTTTCAGCATATTGTTAAATGTGATTTGGAACAAGATGTGTAACTTTTTCAGGCACATCCATCCCTCTTATTTCTTGTCAAATGCTTGTGGTACCATTAGACTGCTAGGAGTTATAGCAAGGAACATTTCTCTCATCTGGCACAATGTAAGTGCAATGACCAAAACGTAAGCATCAGTGGATTCCATTTTGCCTACAATAGCCCAACTGACAAGCTCCCATCTTTCCTGTGACAAGGAGTGGTCTCTGTGAAGAAATAATTTTACTCCCTAGCTTCTTATTACCACAGAAAGTAGTTTAATGCCATACTTCCAATATTCATATTTTCCATTATCCTGTTTTTTTCCATGGGGGACAAAAAATGTAAATATTGAAATATTTTCTCTATTTTGTGCAAACAAAACCAATGAAGAACACTGATGGCCTCCAAGGAGGAGGAAGAAAAGTATATTTTAAAATAACAGCCAATGCTTCCTTCCTAAACAACTGTAACAGACTGTTTTCACTCCAGAATATTAATAAAAAATGGAAGCTTTAGAAAATCATGACACACAGGGCTAAATCAGTCTATTACAGATTTATAATATGTGTAACTCATGCATCATTTTTCAGAAGGGAATTTAAATTAAATTGAAATAAGATTGTACTTACTGTAGCTAATTCATCAAATTTGCCAAAGAGCTCATTCAGCAGCTTCACCAGCTCTTGGGCTGTACACTGTGATGCCAGACTAGTGAACCCCACAATATCTGCGAACAAAATGCTGTAAGGAAGGAAAGACACAGAAATATCAGTACAGAAGACATCTTCACAAGCTTGTTATCGTCGTTCATATCATGAATGTGACTCAAAGCACAAACTCAAACAAGCCCTGAAACGCTACCAAAAAAGTGCTAGTTGGAACAAAAATGGCAAAGATTCAGACAAATAGTCATCAGTCTGGTGCTGCCAACTGTTGTAGAGATCCCTGGGACACTTTCAATCCCTATAGACCTATCCTACGTACGTACCAGGTGTAGATATAGCAAAGCACCTCATTCATGAGGTTCCCCTGTGAGCACTGCAGGAGCACAGAGAACACTTGCTTCTCCTCTTTACAGCTAGGATCTTCTCAGCTTGTCTGGTTTCAAGGACAGTTTTTGCACTGGTAGAGTTCCACAGCCAAATTGATAAACCTTGCATGTGGTTTACTAAGTACCGAAAGACAGGAGTTGATAACTTGTGTATGATAACTCCGTGATGTGGTCTTACTGCTCCCTGTGAGGAGATAACACCCACAGTGTCGGGCCAGGCTTCTCTGCTCTGTGCTTCGTGGCCCAGGGAAGTGTCCAGTTTCCATCAGTGTTAGCAAGAGTTTAACGTCCAGCAGTTTAATCTGCTTTAACAATCCCTACTCATCTGTGATGACAAAGGGAGGTAGCTGAAAGAAACATAGATACTACTGTGACAAAGAGAATAAATATTCTTGTGTAGATCCCAAAACTCAAGAAAGTATGGAGCTATAATCCTTTTAATTATTTAGGTTCCTTCATCTGTTAACAGAAACCTGGAGCCCACTGCAGAAACCTAGTGCATTTATCTCAAACACCTAGACTATAAATGTCAAACAAGTCTTTATTTATGCAAATGCTGACAGACAGCCCCACACTACGTGGCCTAGGTATACTTGACATAGTGTAAAACTAAGTTAAATTAAGCATTACATACTCCCTTTACCCTCAACAAACCTTCACTCTACAGATAAAATAGCAGATGCTAGAAAACCAGGACTAACAAGTCTACTGCTTCCCATTCATTATAAGCAAGTCTGAACTCTCCCAATAAGCGACAAAAAAAGAGCAAATGCAACTCCTGACTCTGACCGTATTTCTATAATTTCATTTAACCCAGTTGCTAAAATCCCTTGTCCACCAGAGCAGGTTAGGTAACCTATCCCAGCACAAAACCGACTCATTCAAAATTCAATGGCTTTAATCTACAAAAAAAGCCTTTATGTTGTCATCGTAATCCTTTGGGTAGTCTCCCCACTCTCTTCTCCTTTGAGCATGATTTATGAGACATTGCTAAAGATGGCCTCAATTCAGGGAAAAAATAACTATTTCCATTCCTATGCTGTTTAAACACAACAAAAAGTCTTCTTAAAATAAAGCATTCAGCTTTTAGTTATTTTTTTGATGTGTGTCTCTGCTATCACGAATGTGAATCAACCAAGTGATGGGTAAGGTAAAAGGCATTAAAAGAGTGCAATATCACCAGCAAAGTGCTCTGCATATTTGCCCACGGAGATCTACTTATTTTCTTAATTGACATCCCTGTTGTTTGATAGACCTGGATTGGTCTTTCTGGAAATTCATAGGTTAATATGAAATTTTCCTCCTAAATTTGTTGAAGATTTTCAATGTACTTAAAGGTGCATCAAGGTCTTTCATACAGTTTGCTTCATAACCCATTTGCTTTATGACCTAAATTTGCATCAGAATTCATGCAGTTGAGAAAGACACAGTGGGAAAAAACAACTACTACAATTGTTGCAATCCAACATGTCATGTAGTTTTGAGTTTTTAATTAGATACTGTTGGTATGAAGAGGGAGTATAGATAAGATTTTATAATAACAGTTTCTGCTAGCCTCTCTGCCATTTTAACATCTGACATTTTACATTCTACATTTTGATTGTTTTTATTTTGCTATTTCCATTTTAAATGTCAGTCCACTTTTATTTTCCTCTCTAACCACATTTGCAATAGCAGTAATAGCTCCTGTAGCACCAACAATGTCCACTTGAAAAAAATTAGCATTTGGGATAGGGGGTTAGGCCTTTAAGATAATAACAATGTTATCTATTTACCAAGGTATTTAACAATGAAGAGCATACACATACACACAAACCAGAAATGTCCAGTATTTGTGGAGACTATATAGCAACGTCTTAACAACTAAGAGAGCAACCATTACACTGTCAACATATACACTTATATCAAAGCTTCTCAATTAGTTAAGCACAGTAAATACATTCATGTATAATTATTCAGTTAAAAAGAAATTTATTTTACATACAACTGCCTTAATAAGTAAGCACAGGATCCTTGCTAATCCTTTTAACATTTAAAAAATAGTTAGCCCTCAGCATTTCATTCAAACCACTGGTAATTATACAAAAAAGTGAAGTTCATAAAAGTACCCACAATACATAACTGAATAAGTAATTACAAATTTAGGTAAAATATGTAATTATTGTGTGCTGAGACATAGCTGTAGTTCAGTTATGCTTGTGAACTATTTCATACTGCAGTTAACTACATGTATATATTTTAAAATTAATGGAATAGGTGAGGTAATATGATTACTGTTGCACTTCCTTGGCATAAGAGTTTTTAAAAAAAATTGCAACTGCTTTCTTACAAAATATGTAAGTTTTTTAATACAATATTCTTAAAATGTGCAATGTATAGCTCCCGTGTCTGGACATGACACAGATGGGTGCAATGCCGTGAGTACAAGCCTTGCCTTTTTTTAAGATATATTCTACTCCTTTCTACCACCATGAAATGGTACAACCATAGCTGCTGCTGCCTTTCTTTTTAAAGTAGGCTGAAATATATGTGACCAAATGTGATTTTTCAACAGGGATAGTAGGAAACAGGCAGTGGATGGGCAGGGGCTTTGCAGACCCAAAGTGCAACTGGGACTGCGAGCCTATTGCTTCCACGGCCTGTTGTCACACAGAGAGCTCTGATATTCTAAAAATGGCATTGAAATGCATTAGCTGGATCATTTTATTTTAGCTAGGGTGCTGACCAATATCATCTCTTGTACTTCTTCACCTATCTGCGTCCATCTGTTGCCTCTTTCCTTACTACTTGGACTACAAGTATTGTGGGGCAGCACCAACACTCACTCTTTATTGTACAATGTCTAAAACAATTTAGAGCAGCATCTCGGACAGTGACATGGAGTTCTGACTATGGAGTTAAATCACCCATCTGATGTAATAAACTTTTTCTTCCCCTGTTATGTCCTGCTCAGGTTTTTGGAACATAAAGGACACAGAAGGTCTGTATCAGGAGGTGGCAAAATCTGCCACAGGGGGTGAGAACAGAAAAGATACTATAATTTTTGCTATGGCCATGAAAATTGTAAGGATACTAAAGAGAGAAATGATAAAATACACAGTGCCAGAATTCCAGTGATATGCCTGAGGTGCTTCCAGGTCCAAACCATATTTTCAAATACATTCAACTATTTTCAAAGTCCAAGTCCCCACCTCTTTCTCAGTAGAACACAAATTAGCACTGAAATTCCTTTTTATACTATATATATTATATTATTCACACAAAAATAACAAGAGTTTTAAAAGTAGGCCATGTCTAACATCAATATACTTAGAAAAGTTAAGACAAAGCAACTTCATTGCTGCAGCACATTAATCAATCCTGTAGATGCATTAATTCAAGAGCAAAATAGCCTTGGTTCACTGTAACTTAATTGCTAATTACCATGGAGGTTCACATCCTCAGAGAGGATTAAACTAGAGTAAACTTGGGCTACCTTAGTTATGCATGAAAGAGTCCTCATAATGATATGGTATACAAAAGGATACTTCACAGTGATTGATAAGTAATAGTATTGTAAAAAAAAACAAAACAAAACAAAACCACATATAGAAACAAGAAGTGAGAAGATATCCATTAACAATTGTTTGTCTTAACGACCATTCAGGGATATGACTTTCCCTGCTTTAATTCCACAGAAATCCTAACTATGCCATTGGGGCTTTCTGGTGAAAAAAAAAAAAACAAAACCAAACACAAACAAACCAAACCCAATCTCAAACTGCAACTATTAAAGAGAGAAGAGAAATGAAAGTGGAAATGAAGTGAAAACAAAGGGCAAAGGTTACTTCTGTTTGTTGAACAGCATAGCTTGCACATGATTCAAGCGCAGCTCTCCGTGAGAAGTGATGTAAAAGTGATGGTTAGCAAGGCTAAGTAGTTACTACAGTGCTAAACCCGGTGTTGCCCCGCTGCCCAGGGGCTCAGCAATGCCCCGAGCCCTCTGTCCCACAGCTGAGCAAAGGGACTCCAAGGAGCTATCATTCTCTTGGCTTGTGGGCTATACAAAAAACTACAATCCCGATCTTTGAGATATTCAGCATCTGCCCTGTAGTTTTCAGTCATACCAGGATTTTACCGGTAAACTCACAGGATCAGGAATTTTAGCTAATCTGGTAAAATCTTAACCCACTTTGGTGTTTAGACCGACAAGTTATTAGCATCGTAAATTACAACAGCATGTCAGTATTCTAATTAAATCCTAGGGGGGGAAATAATCAATTCCGGAGCAGAGCTTTGTCAAACTTCTTCTCTGCTCTTGATTTTGAAGTCTGCATGCTGCCGCTGTGTTGCAGGAGCAGCGCTGTCCTGGGTTAGAGGTTTCCTTACACCGCTGCCTGCTTGCTTACAGATGGTGGAAGGAACATACACTGAGTATTGCTAAAGCACAAGACAGCAGCAGGAGACTGGTTTGAAATCTTTCTTTCTGATCACTTTATCTGAGATGCAAAATACACTTTTGCCAGTGGTTTTCTTTCTCAAACTAACAGCCAGAGTTACCCTTCCACGACTTAAAACCCCCATCTTTCCTGCAACACTTTCTGCTCATAGCTAACAACTGCTCGTTGGTGCAGCTGCACCAAAGGCAAGGCTAAAGCCCAGTTTTGACTCCAGCTTTTCTGTAGCTATTTTCTGAAACTTTCGACTGATA